CTTATAAAGCAATCGCTCTAACCACTGCGCCACGGCCGCACATAATACTATAATATCTAATACAGTAATATTTATTAATTAAGCTATATAAAAAAACCGTGTTGAAGTACGAAATTTTTTTCTGGGGTGACTGTTGGGGGTGGGTGGGTGGTCTAGGAAGGGGAGTGAGGGAGGTTGGAGAAGCCACAACTGATATTTTGCAGTGGGACCAGGATGACTTAAAGACGGGTCTCTCTTTCTCTCTCTATCTCTCTCTATATATATATGTATATATACATATATATATATATATATATATATATATATATATATATATATATATATATATATATATATATATATATATATATATATATATATATATATATATACATATATATATATATATATATATATATATATATATATATATATATATATATATATATATATATATAAATATATATATACATATACGCTGTGTCTGGGGTCAAAATTTTATTTTATTATGGTTATGCGGTATGTCAAAAAAGAATATTACTCCCAAATGATAAATCAACTATAATGTTTAATTCTTTTTTCTTATATTTAAATTTTCAGTATTGTTTTTTTTTAAATAGAATATATAAAATAACATTTTTATCACAAAAAAACTCATCATTTTATATTTAGAAATAAAAAATTTATAAATAAATGAGAAAAAGTAAATATCAAAGAAGTGTACGAAGGTTAATTCTTTTTCGACTTTTCTTTTTCATGAGTTAGTTAATTTGCAGAAAAAATATAAATGAATAAAAAAGTTTGTTAAGTAACTGAAGCTGGCCAAAATAGTTATTTACTTCAACTGTAGGTTATGAGCTCTGCATGGCGTGTAAAGAGCTTGAAAATTCTTTTGTGTAGAGTAAAGAGCTTGAAGATTCTTCTTTCATGTAAGGAGCTTGAAGATTCTTTTAAAGTATGATGGCGTATACTTCTTTGTATACACCTAAGTTCAGTTCACCAAAATGTTTGCAGGCTTCATCTAACCACTGACTACTAACTCCAATCTGTATGCGCCACTGAACTGTTGGCGCTGATGATAGAATCCCGTTAACTCGGACTCTGAAGGGATATATATTTATTGTCCGACTTAACGAATGTCTGAATTAAACAAAGCTCTCGCTAAGTCGGACTTTTTAAAAATGTCCGACTTATTGAGATTTCGAGACTTATTGAATGTTCTTCGATATACAAATATTATGTACATATATATAGAACAATATAATCTTATGTGAAATATATCCTTTTGTGTATATGATATATACTATAAACAAAAAAAGTCCGAAATTGATGTTTCTTTCAGTGACTCGCACAATATTTTTTCAAATAGCTTTATGTTATTACATGCATTTATATGCAATTATATTAAAAAAATAAAAGTCCTAGTTAAGCGAAGTTTTTTGCTGAAGGGTTCTCAAAAAACTGTACGATTTAGCGAATGGTCCGACTTAACCATGGTACAACTTAGGCGGATGATTTTACAGTAAGTTGGTAGAGAATATTTAAGGGAATTTAAAATTTCATCCAACTTAGTAAAAGTCCAACTTATCCAGGGTCCGAGTTAACGGAATTCAACTGTAATTAGCAAATCCAATGATGTATAAATATAACTAGGTGCGTGACTTGAGTTAAAAAGTGAAGCCAGGATTTAAGATTTTTGCCGTACCGCCATCTTGCGGTACGGCAAAAATCTTAAATCCTGGGCAAAAATCTTAAATCTTTCTGAACGCGTTACATAGGGATATATAACTAATTAAACTGGATATAAGTTTACAAAGAGGTTTTAATTGTTAAATTTTTAAGAGCAAATACTTCTTTCGGAAAAATTGCTGCTAGATTTTTAACCATTAGACTCAAAACGTTAGAAATATTACCTCTAACTTATTCAAGGAATAAAAGCAAGTCTTCGATTTGGTTTAAAAAAAGGCCTTTTTGTTAAAAGGCTTTAAAATTTATAGGTTTTGATTTATGCCTACTTTTAATTGAATATTTTTAAATAGTACTTTTTACTATACAATCTACTGTTTTTTTTTAGGTTTTCTACTATTAAAATATAATTTTAATTTTGTAAATTTTAATGATTTGAAACTTGCTTTATTTATCATTATAGGTGCCTCAAGAACCTTAAACATTTACCGGATCCCCAATATCATCAATATTTCAAGCATAAGTCATGTCTGGTCTCAAATAAAATAAAATTATACAAAAATCTGAAATATATTAGTCATTTGTATATATATATATATATATATATATATATATATATATATATATATATATATATATATATATATATATATATATATATATATATATACACTGTGCGACATAATGATAAGACACCTCAAAAAGATTTATAAAACTTTGCTATACATTTATATTTAAAAACTAATTTTTATTGTAAATTAAAGCAAAGGTTTTACAACACTAATCAATATTTTAACAAATTTGTTTTTAACGTAATTCGCATTTTATAAAAAAAAAGCGTTTTTTCAGTGTGAAAAAATTATAAGACAATTTTACAAAAAACGTTTTATTTGCAAACCGCAGTTGTGGGCAATTAAGAATATTTTTTTGATGTAAACGGCACAGACGAATATTTAACTGTAAACATTTGTGAACTGTCAAAAATTTATTTTGGGTTTTTTTTTGTTAAGTATAAAATAAAAAATTAATTAATAATGGGTCGTGTTGCACCGTTGAGTCCAGATGAGAAAAAAGTGCTTTCTAACTTATCAAAAATGGGTCACTTCGTTAGTTACATGATTAGAGCTATTAGACGCAGCCGAACTGTGATTAAAAACTACGTTAATAGTCCTCATATGTATGGAATAAAAAAAGGTCCTGGACGTCCACCAACATCAAGTGACCGTGATAGGCAAAGGTTGTTGAGACAAGCTTCATATTCTTCATTAACTGCACGTCAAATTGCTGCAGAAGCAGGTGTGATTGCTAATTTACGTACATTTCAGCTAGTTATTCATAATGCTTTTCACCTTTCGCGCAAAAAACTTCAGCGAAAACCACCGTTGACAACAAATTATATAAACAATCGAATAACTTTTGCAAAGGACCACATAACATGGAAAAAAGAGTAGCAACAAGTAGCATTTTCTGACGAAAAACGAATTTGTCTTAATGGGCCGGATAGATAGCATTATTATTTTCACAATTTGCGTCAAGAGCCAGTAACACAGAAACGACGTCAAATGGGTGGTAGTGGTGTAATGATTTGGTGTGCAATCGGGTATCATGATAAATCAAAAATTCATTTAATTGACGGGAAAACGAAGACTAAGGATTATCTTTTAATTGTGCAAGAATTTTTAAGAGATTAAGCATCGGTTATATGTGGTAAAAATTTTGTTTTTCAGCAAGATAATGCGTTCATACAGCTAAGAAAGTATTGGATCATTTCAACTGCAGTAAAATTGAAACATTGAAGTAGCCAGTTAGATCTCTAGACCTGAACATTATTGAGAATACTTGGGCACAGCTATCACATATAGTGTTTGAAGGTGGCAACCAATATAGTTCACTAGTTAACTTGAAATCATCCATCGCATCTGCATGGGGTGCAGTTAACATTTTGTACATAAAAAAGTTGTATATTTCTATGAAATATAATATAATGATTGAAGTGATTCAAAAAAATGGTAAAAGTACCCACTATTGATTGTTAAAAAAAGTGAGATGTCTTTTTATATAAATGACAATTTATATGAATTATTTCCAAAAGTGTCTTATAATTTTGTCGCACTAAAACAGTTTTTTTCAAATAAAATACGAGTTAAATTTAAATTACAAGACTAAACAACATTTAAAATTTTGAATATATATATATATATATATATATATATATATATATATATATATATATATATATATATATATATATATATATATATATATATATATATATATATATAAATTGAAAATATAGTAAAAATTAATTCTCAATAGATGCTTAATTAATCAAATCAAATTTAACTTATCAAAATAATAAAAAATTTATCAAAATTTTGTGACTAATTATTATTTTGATAAATAATTACGTTTTTATAACCGCGTCTCATGTTTTTGCCGTACCGCAAAATTGCGGACGCTATCTTCACTAAGTTATACCAAGGACGTAAAATAAGACTCTTATTTTACGTCCTTGGTTATACGCTTTAAAAGCTGCGAGTCACGCATCTAGTTATATTTATACGTCTTTGAGTAAATCTTAAATGCGTAATCTGTTAATAATTAGCCATGTATTAATTACTAACAGATTTACGTGTCGTTCTATCATAAAGCACGTACGCTCGGAGGGGAAGAGGGGATCTGCAAATGACGTATATGAAATGGGAGGGTAGTGGGTCAATTATAAAAGAAAGGAGACACTAAATTAAAACAAATATCCTAAAATGCTAGATAAATAGATTAAAAGCGTAGGTACTATTAGGGAGGGGGAGGGTACTCAAAAAAACGTATTGCAAGACGCGGGGTGGGGTGGGGGAGTCGACGAAAAAAAAGCGTACGTACTTTATGGACGACCCCTTATTTGATTAACTTACGTTACTCTCACTTCTATTATCCGATTATGTAATATTAACTTACGGATAAGTGATACTATTAAAAAATGAATCCTATAAAGTATGCAACTGATTTCGAGAAGTCTGTCTTAATAGATAATTTTGTTAAAAGAGGATGGAGTAAATGTTCTCCAGAAGATAATTGGAACTTTTACTGGTAAATTAATTATAGAATACTTTAAATAAATATAGAATACTTTTGGTTTTTGCAAATAATCCCTTTTCAAATAATGTTTTTTCTGTCATTATTAATGACAGAATTATTATTAATCACATTAAGCTTTTAGAGGCGTTCTTTAACGGCTACAAATATTAAAGGAGGGGAGGGGCAATTATTCTTGACAGTTTTTTACAATAGGTAGCGGAGTGTACCTACTATTGATTCTACTACCTTAACCAAAATTTCATAATGCTTCTAGTATATCGTTGTTATAATAATATACTAGATTTTTATGCTAGACTGCTTGAGTAGCTTTGAATACGTTTATAAAGTATAAACGAATTATATATAAATTATGAATGGATTATAATATAATCCATTTTTTGCACATTGACTTAAAGAGAGATGACATCATTAGAAGATGTAGCCAGATGTGACAACAATGTTCAATACAAAATGAATAAGAGGGATAAATGCAACTTTAACTAGCAAGTTAGCACAGCTTGTTACTTAATTATTTTATTATTTTTATATTATATTATTTATTCTAATTTCTCCAAAGTATTTTATTGTCATAATTATGAAGTGTTCAAAAAACATTTCATTATTAAATTTCCAACGTTTCAAAATTGAAAACTTTTTTTTAAACATAAATATCTTAATCGTAGTATCCCTTTTACATTTAATGTCTGATTTATTAAAGTAAATAAAGCTAATAGTTGGAAACAAGGATCTTTGATTAAACAAACCTAAGGTACTAAGTACCACAGGCTTCTTGCTTATATGGTCATTCTATGCCAATTGGATCGAGATCAAGCATTATACAATTCAATAAGAAATTATAGACTCCAGTTCCAAAAATTGCTCTGACTAAAACTTAAAAAAGTTTTCTTTCATTTTAAACCACCAACAGCCTACAGCCTAGTATTGGCACTAACTTTAATAATAAACTTTATTTCTACTGATTTAATCAGTAGAAATAAGTTTATTATCAAAGTCAAAACTTTAAATAGTGGGTACTCTCATACTTATATGCATGTAGTATATTTAGTGGGTACTCTCATAGGGAAGTTACAAAGTCAGAGCTGTAAAATTAGCACAAAATGAATTTAAAACAATAAAAATAGAGTTATGTATTTTAGTTTGTATTATATATAATAATAAAAAACACATATATAAAAGTATAATCAGTATTAGAAATAAGTCATAAATTAAGCCTGATTTAAACTTAGCCCTTGTCCCCTTTCTGTCCATTCACTTTTTAGCATGCAAACTTTCTCCAAGAACATTCTTATTTTAGAAGGACTTCTCTCTTTATCAATTACTTATTGAAATTTTACCTTATGTTGTGTTATTTTATGTTAGGTGTGTGAAGTTTCTTAATGTACAAAAAAAGTATTAAACATACACATTTAAAAACTGTGGCTTAAAAGACAAACATATATCTTTATTTTATATAAAGATAAATTCATTTTGTATATATTTATTGTATCAAAACTCATGGAAACCTTAGTTTACACTTTAAAACTTAAAATTAAATATATTTTGTAAGATAATTAAAAATAAATGGCAAGTGCATTTTAAGATCTAACTCAATGTTGCATTAGAAAAACATTGAATAAAGATTGTCATAAAGTAAAATTTGCCAAAGTCAAGAAAATTGAATATATTTTTTTAGAAATTAACAGAAAAAGATCAAAAACTTGCGCACTTACCATATTAAGTAAATCAAATTAAATCCGCAATCACCATGAAAAGCTCTACTTGGATAGATTTGAGACTTCATATGATGGAAATTTTTGTTGTGATCAATTTAGAAAATAAAAAAGTTAAAGTAAAAAGTATTTAAAGATAAATTGACTTAATCAATAATTTAAAAGATAAAGGCTTATTTAATGTTTTATCATTTTGTTTCTTTTTAGAATCTGTCAGAGTATTCTGTGTTGCTGTTGAAAAGGAGTTAATTGCCTTGATACCAACACACTAAAATCTTAATATTTTGTTTGATAAACACAGCATTTAATAATATTTTAATATTAAGGCACATTTTTTTAAGTTTTAGCTGGAGCCATTTTTGGAGTCTGAGTCCATAATTTCTTATTGAATTGTATCTTATAAAAAAAGTTCCAAAAATTAGGGAGCCTACAAAAAAATATCTTTTCACTTCTTAAAATTGTGATTTTGTATTTTTATATTTGCAAACAGTTTTTTGGTTTTTTTAGATATTCATTATGGATAAAAATAGGTTTTCTGAAATTTTATTTTTAAAATGTAATGCCAATATATGAACAAAAGATGTTTTTGCTTGAGTTTTTTTTTGTGTGGAAAAATCAGAAATTTTAAATGACCATATCTCAGAAACCACAAAATGTTGTATGCTAAAATTTTCAGGAATTGCTTTTTTTATTAATATAAACCAATCCACCAAGTTTCATCAAAATTTGAGGTGGTTCATGTTGAAATTTTAAAATTTTATTCCATTTGGCATGGAGTGACTCTTTAATTATTATATTTTTTTACTTGAATGATTTTTTTAACTTGTTGATTTTCACAGTTTTTTTTACTGGGTTTATATTGCCAATGCTTGTACTCCTTATTCTTAGTCATTCATATACACAGTGTCTATATTTGTCTTTGTATGTTGAAGATATTGTTTTGAGAGTTCTTTCAGATCAAAAACAATGTTAAGTATATATTTTCCTTTTTTTTTTGTTATTCACAGGAATATGCACAAAATTTCGAACATAACCTGCTTTTAAACTGGTATGTTTGAGTTTAAAATTAAATTTAATATCAAATATACTTGGTAAAAAGTCTAGGCATCCGAAAAATATCACATAATAAAATTCATTAAAAATGAGAAAAAAAAAAGATTTCAATTGAACACATGTTAACTTTTGTAAATTTGTAAAGACGGGTTTAATTAGTATTTGCATTGATCAGAGCCGTCCTGAGGGGGCTTAGGGGGTGTCTAGCCGCCCTATTAATTTTATTAGTCAGCAAATTGGACACGAGTCAGCAAAACTTTATTTATAGTTGGAAGTTGGAAAACGTGGATCTTTTATTTTTTATTTTTTTTAAGATAAGTTAGTGGGCAAAAAATTTTTTTTTGGTTCTAGTTGGCAAAAAACAGACACATCACCTCTCCTTTAAAATCTCTTCGGGACGGCCCTGGCATTAATAACAACAATACTTGCTTGTTTTGAAAACTTGGTACTTGCTTGTTTTTTACTGAAAAGTTTACTTGTTCAGTTTATCATTGTTATTTTATTTGGCATTGTTAAAGTTCTCAATCTTAACTAGTAACAATGTTTAATCAGCATGTCTTTATTTTTTGTTGCTTTTTTATTTGTGAAAATCCTTACAGGATTTTCACAAATTTTTTCTTTCACAAAGGATTTTCTTTATTGAGATAAAACAAAAGTAAAAATTAATATAACTTTGACATAACTTTGAGTTTAACTTGAAAATTTTAGATTAGTAAAAGCTAGGTATGGTCTTTTCATGATATTTTCAACAACAGGTGTTCAATAGATATTTTCTTTTGACCAGAAAATGTTTATTGAACATTTGAAATTCTTGAACTATTTTTTCTTATAAAAGACTTTTTGAGTTCTAATTAATGCTATCTAGAAGAGGTCAATAATACAAAATTCTACTAAACTCTCCTAGAAACCATCCTTGAAACCATATCAATTCCTTTGCAATGCTTTTTTTAAAGCAGTTTCAGTTATTGTTGAATTTTGTAATTTAAATAATTTTTGATCATTTAGTAATATTTTTTACTTTGAAAGCAGTTAAAGTTTAACACAAAAGGCTGATTACTTTATTTGATCTTAAAATTTTGTAGAGACCAGGCCACTGTTAAAAAAGAAAAAAAAATAGAGTTTATTGCTTAGTTTTCATATATTTTATTAATTGTGACACCAATCACATATCATTTATAACATATTTCTCAAAAACTCAATCATGATCAACAAAAGTTTGTTATCAGGTAGAACTAAACAAACCAAAACAACTTTAACACAAATCTTATGGTTAGTATTTCGCCACAATACTTTAGCATTTTATTTGGTGTCTTTACCAGTCAAGTCTGCTGCTTTTCTTAGTTAAATTATATATGCATGATGAACATAGTGCAATAACTTTTTTCCTTGCAGCTAGTTATAGTTTGGGATTTCTCAAAAGTAATAATATTTGGAGAACTACCAAGTCAGGAACTAATTATCTCTATATCCAATGTGTAATCCATTCATTACAAGTTATAACTTCTTGACCAGTGCATTGTCATGTTAAAAGTGTGCAGTGGTGACCAGTCAGGATTATCAGTAGTTTGCCAGTATTTTCAAACATGTTGTGGCTCTGATGGTAGCATCAGCTAACATGAACTATAAACAACATTGCCATGAACTGAAATAGAGCCATAAATCATGACATCCAACAGGCATTAAAATGTTCAAAAAGAAAGCATTGATTTATAATCATTAATAGGTTGACTAATAAATGCTCAAAAAGAAAGAATTGATTAATATTTCATTAAAACATTACATATTAACATTGCTGTCCAGTGCTTATATAATCAAAAAACATAATGTGTTTCCTTGGTGCTGTTCAGTTACATTCTTCAGCAATTTAGTACCATAAAACAGCGTTACTTGGGACAGTGATGTTACTTGGGACAAAATTAGTAACTTTAGTTTGTTAGGCTGGCATTACCTCACATCCCATTTACAGCTACAGCTATATTACATTTACAGCTAATTCATGCTTGAGCTTTTATAAACATTCTGAGATAGTAAAGTTGGATGAAAGTTTATTAGCAGTGTTTTTCTTCAGTTTTTACTTAGGACATATTTGAAGTGACTCTATAATGTTATTCCCTATATTATATTTGTTTTATCATTTGCCATCCATCCTATTTAATTATTTGCATATAGTTAGGTGTTATAGACCTACTATTAATTACACAATAGGTACTTTTATTTGTTTTATTTTTATTCCAAAAAAGAGAATGGGTTGCCCAACTAATAACTTTTGACATTTTTTGTTTGAAATAATAACTTTTTCACTTAGCCCTACATTTGTTCAAAGTTGAAACTTGTCCCAAGTAACCTGTTTTAAGATACACATTAAAAATTTTATTTCCACTAACATTTTTAGAAGTCAGTAACCAAAGTTTATTACTTAAGGTTAGTAAATAAATAAAGCATTTGAGCCATTATATAAAATGTATACATGTTTCTAC